CTGAAAATAAGAAACATAGGATAACTGCTCCATCCCAAAATGTCTTAGGTCCTAGAATAGCAACAAGTGTTTCACCCAGAACTACATGCATAAGGTTAAAAAAAGAGTCCCTGCAGATTTACTCTCATAGTCATTGCCGATTGTATGGTGTGGTGCTCATCTCCATTTCAAGGCCATTGAGTCAGCATTGTCCAAAGACATTTCCATGGTCATGTAGCCAACATGTCACTAGTGCTGTTACCTTCCTACCAAAGTGGTACCCATTTACTCACATTTGCATGCTTCCAAACTACTATGTCCCAAAGGTGCTTTTATTCAGGAGACACGTGGACTTGTTTTTTCTTTTGAAGATGTTTCACTTCTCACCCAAGAAGCTGAAGAAGCTTATTGGATGAGAAGCAAAACATCTTCAAAGAAAAAAACAAGAAAGTCCATGTGCCTCCTGAAAAAAAGCACCTTTGGGTCAACCATGACCTGGATAACTGAGAATTTCTACCGACTTTCAAACTACTAGGTTGGCAGGAATTGGCGTGAGGACAGGAGGTAACCCTGTTGTGTGGTGCTCAGGCCTCAAGCCTGATCTACTGGCTTTTCAGCCAACAAGCCCAGCGTCTTGACTGCTGAGCCACCACACTACCCTACTCCAAGCATAAGGGAAATGAAATTATTTTATCCTGCCCATCTGTATTCTTACTTTGTGTTGTATGCATTTGTAATGTCACAGAAAACAAAAGCCATTCAGACATCAAACCACCTTTCCCCTTAAAAGACTGTATAGGGTAGTGGAAGCTCTGGAAACCAGGAAATCAAGTGAAACAAATGTTCCTATAAATAGAAAGCGACATACACCCAAGTTGTACAGATCCAGTGTTTCACAGAAATGATTAATATCGCAACTCAATTCTTCAACGCAGCCAGGGTCATGGAATTATAGAAGTCTCAATTTTTTGTGGCATGCAATCTTTTTGTAGAAATCATGTATGTTAATAATTTTGTTCCAAGGAGAGCTCACTTCAGTTAAATTGATATGGGGTCAGCTGTAAAACCCAGTTCACACAAACAGCTCCAGGAAGATGTATAAGGTTGGGTTCATAACAAAGGATTTCATAAAACAGCAAATATTGGTAATTTGATTCACACATTATACTAAATCTGGGGAGGCATCCTGAAGCCTCAAAGCTGCCCTGTTGCCTATAGACCCTGTGAAGAGCCTACACTTATCCCTAGCTTCCCATTGAATCTTCATGTACTCATGCAGACACCCCAACAAAACAGATCATACTTGCTTTGCTGAAAGAAACTCAGGCTATGTATTAGTTTAGATTAGAACCTGATAGGAAATCATTCTCAAAGGAGAGTAGGGTGTCAGATATGAAGGGGTAGAAAGGGAAGAATTTCCCAGGAGAAATGTGAGAGGGAAAGCTTGGAAAGCTTTGGTTTGCCTAAATTGGCTAATATGAATTTAGTTGAGTGGTTTTCAAAGATAGACTCTTAGTTTCATTCCATAGAAAAAAAAGGTGGGTCAGTCAGTGTTTACACAGCTGAACACATTAATTTGTCAGTAGTTCAAAGTTGACAAAACATTCTAGGGTGTAATTTTAAGAAAGAAGAAAAGGAATGATTGCTTTATTCATTACAGAGGACCTTCAGTGGGGAAAATGGAAGGAAGACCGGAAGTTTTAATATACTAATGACCAGGGGTGGGATTCAATTCTTTTAACAACCTGTTCTGTGGGCGTGGCTTAGTTGGTAGGCATGGCTTGGTGGTCAGGTGACTGGGTGGTGGCTTGGTGGTCATGTTATTGGCTGGGCGAGGCCAACTCAATATCACTCACATTGAGGCATGCATCTCCTTGCCTGGCCTCTCATGACTGTGGGGATGCTGCAACAGCCGTAAGTATGAAAAATGGTCATAAGTCACTTTTTTCAGTGCCATTGTAACTTTGAATGGTCACTCCACACAGGCAAAGTACCAGCAAAGGAGGGAAAGAAAACTCCAGAGAGGTTCCTGAGATAGGAAATCTAGTCCTGCCAAGAATGTAATAAGGTTAATGGAGAGGCAGTTTCTGTAAGCAACACCAGAATGTTTCCTTCCTGCCTTCCTTACAGGATTAGGCCAGTAATTTCTTCTAACAACCAGTTATCCAAACTGCTTAGAATGTTAACAACCGGTTCTAGTGAATAGGTGTGAACTGGTAGAATCCCACCCCTGCTAGTGACCTATCACGGTTATCACATCCACTTTTAGATTCTAAAGTTTTTTTTAATGTTTTTAATTATTTAAAGTGATTTTTGTTGACAAATCAGGAGGATTAGGACTGAGAACAACCGTTTTAGAAAACTAAGCACCATATACATACACTACAATACTTTTACATCATATAAATACCATGCATATCACGTATAATTTTCCTTTATACTGGTCTTGACCATGTTTGCAGGTAAACAGAAGCTTATCTTTTCTGCATCTGCTTTCCATAGATGGAAACCAGTGTGTTTTATTCTGGTTGCTTGAATGGAAAACTAGCCTGTAAACTAAAGATTAGCAATCCAGAGTGGAGAAATGAAGAAAAACTAGAAAACTTCAACCCTGAAGATTGCACGTAAATCCTTTTCTAGACTCGATGGGGAAAAATGAATCGATACTTAGGTCAAGCTTTCTGCTAATTACTTTTAAAACATTAAAAGTGTTGCAAAAATCATTTCTTAAGATTGCTGAACAGCAATTTTTTAAACATATCTTTTTTTAAAACAATCTATTTAAACATATCTATTTTTTAAACACCAATTGATTTTATTACTTAGGCCTGGTGAGATCTGGTTCATAAATTATTAACATCATGGAATGGAGGAGCTAAACACCATCTGCTAAAGTATCACACGATGTCCTAGCTAGACTAAGTGTAATTTGACAAGAGGGGAGGGGGAGAGAAGGTTTTTCACAGACAGAGGAAGTCTGACTGTGTAGGTTTATGTATTAGAATTAGGCAGTCTCAGCTGCTGAGGAGATATAAAATCTAGGATGATTCAAGGCTGCCAGTAAGTTCATATGCCCATTTCACAAATATGACTCTGGGTGACCTATAATAAAAAAAAACATTAAAAAAAGTCAAACATTAAAAATTATTCTATGATTAAAAAATCAAGAGAGCATCTTCATTGTTATGTTCCATGTAGTCATCTTAACAGTTCTCTGTATCCCTGAGATCCCAGCCTGTTGACATTGCCATGTTCTGAGCCGGGGTGGGCTTCAAAAATTTCAGCAACTGGCTCTCTGCCTGGTTGCTGGGTGGGCATGGCCTAATCGGTCTCCTGAACCATGGCAGAGGGGGATGTTTTTGCCCTCCCTGGGCTCTGGAGGCTTTTCTTGAGTCTCCGGGAAGGCGAAAATGGCCTCCCAGGCTCTGGAGGCACTCCGGAGGTTGGAAACGGGCCCAATTCTGGCCTTCTGGGAGGCCTGTTTTTCTGTCTCCCTGAGCCTTTGCTCAGGCTCTGCACTTACCTGGTATCCAAAATGGGCAGTGTGGAGATTTCCTGGGAGGGGCGGGGAGGGGCCAGCCAGGGGATGGGATTGGGTGGTTTGCCAAACCTGCTGTAACATTAACTACAAGTTCGCCTGGGTTCAGGAAAACCCGTAGCACCTCACCCCTGGTTTTGAGGAACTTCTAGAAGAATAGCAAGGATGAGGCCACAGAATATTCCACAGGGTGGGTTCAATGGCATGGGGAAAAAATGAGAGCAACATACTCTTCTACCAGACCTGATGGATCCAGCAGTTGTAATCGGGAAGAGACAATCTTGATAGGAGGATGCAATGAATATTCAAGAAAAAAAGAAGATCCAAGATGTTTCAAATTTTAGTAGTCATGAAAAGTAGGCAGCCAAATTTTAATCAGAGACCTCAATTATCTCTTTGTGGAATTTAGTAATCATGAATTTTAGAATAGGCATTCCCCTACTTATTACTACTGCTGTTTGGGGATAGATAATCTTTGAATGGTGCAACAATTATGTGATTGAAAAAATTGTCCAGGAAATTGAAGCTCAGAAAGGATTCAAAATGGAAGGGATCCTAAGCTTATATGTTACTGATAGAAGAGAATATATGTAGCTCAAGGTTGAATTGTGGAATCCTTGTTCTCTGAGCTTAGTTGTCTAATCAGTTAATGACACATCTGCAAGAAAACAACTAAACTCCACTATTTATATGTAATAGCTGAACTGCATTTTCTTAGTTACTTGACTGGAAAGATCAGTCCTTCAAAGAAACTTGAGGAGGAAAGTTCCTTATGGTAAAAAGGGTTTTATAAGCTGTATTTTATTTCATGACAATATAATTTTAAAAGGTTTCAATTTTCCTAAATCTGCAATGAATATTTCTGTGCAATTGCAAAGTTATACTAAGATTAATATAGAAAACCTGCAGTTAATCTGAACAAGTAATATCCCATTTTAGCAAATCAACGAGCTAGAGTTTTATATATCATGAATGTTGCAGGTTCTTAAGTTTGTTTTTTAATCTGTTTCAGAAAATATGTAGAAAGGTTTTGGTTACACTTTTGATATGTTGGAATTGTATTATGTTTGGCCTTTCTATGCTGATACCATTTTAATTTATTATTCAAAATTATAAGTAGGCTGTTAGAAAAAGAAAAAGGAGTTCAAAAGGGTTGCTGAATTATATTCCTCAACATTGTTTGTCTAAATATGAAGAACTTTGGAAATATCATCAATGGATAGCATTAAGGTTTTATTCCTGTGGATTTTAATAAACCTGACCTACAACCTTGAATGAAAATTGAGCACAATTTAAACAGATAAATTGATATTTAGCACCAGAATGATAAGCTTCTGTGCTAGGCATTGTCTTAAACTATAAATATCACATCACTTTTTCAAATTCTGTGTTAAAACTCATAGAAGCAATCTTCTTCTTTTTATAAAATATCCGGCATTGGACATTGGTGATCATGTTGGCAATCCTGTTTTTGTCAACAGCCGCATGAAAAAGTGCTGCTGAGTTTTGTCCAAACCAGTCCCTTAAATGTTGAAACCATGATCTTCTTCTGCCTGGACCTCGTTTGCCTTCAATCTTTTCCTGGAGGATTAAGGGAAGTCTATAGAAGCAGTATAAAATATCAATTAAATAATGAGAAGAAAATCCATTATTTAAAATGGGTAGTAAAATGGGGAGAGCAAAGAAAAAGAAAATGGCTTTATACCAGGGCTGGGATTCTACTGGTAGGGTGCACCAGTAGTAGTGAACCAGTAGTTCTGGTGATCATTTGGGACACCCCCCCCCCCGTCCTAGTCTGTCCTTTATTTCCATGTTTTGCAGCTCAGCTGATTCACAGCGGCACAGCCGATTGCCGCGTCTCAGCTATTTTACTCACTGGGGCTGCAGTAGAAGCTGCAGTATTAGAGCTGAAAATAGGCAGTTTTCAAATGCTGCGCATGCTCACCGAACCGGTTGTTACACCGGTTGAATCCCACCCCTGCTTTGTACCACTGTTTCTGCTCTAGCAGAATGAATGCAGCAAGATTCAGAGAAAGCTTCTCTTCTATCTCCAGACATCCCTAGTAGAATAGTTTTTCTTAAGACATAAAAATTTAAATTTTAGATTTTGTTGTAGGTAAGGAATAAATGTACAGCCTGTTTCAATTTTTTTGTTTTCATAGTTGTTAAAGTAAAGAAACTGTACTAGTCCCAGCCTACCCAATACTTTAATTTTTCAAAATTATTTACAAATGAGTCAAAAAACAATGTTGTTATGCAGCAGAGTAAAAATATAAACCCCAGTCTCCTCCTCCTCCTCCTCCTGTATTCTATGGCATAGATTTATCCAAGCCCTATATAGAAAGAAGAATGTTTTAGCAGAAAACCTGTAGTTCTAATTAACACCAGAGAGTGGCAGAATTATAACAGTAAAAGCAATGTATCCATTCTTACAAGCATTGGTCTTTTTCTATAATACTGTATATTCTGAATTCCACAATGCTTTGAATACTAAAAAATAAATAGAAGATATATTCACTAATGAACGTTACTAAGATTAGTAAAATTGAGCTATTTAGTAATATGAACTTATTCCAGATATTTTCAAATAGAATAACTACCCATAACATGTTCATTCAAATTATCTTGTATTTTACTTCTTTCGGCTCCGGACTCAGTAGACTCAAATCTTCTCAGACTTAGTGGCCGGTCTCTGTGTACAGGTGAAATCCAGGTTTAGAGAATCAGGGCAGTAGTAGAAGATGGTTAATGATGAAGAAAATATTCTATAAAACTTATCGTCAGAGTTGCCAGTGACGTTTTTGGTCTAGGACAACTCGCCATGGCCAACTTGCCATGGGACTCACTGCGGGACTACTCACCATGGGACAATTTTTACACAGGATAACTCAACATGAGATAACTATATTGTTATTCACCACTGTTTCCTTGACATTGTTTTCATTTTTGTTATGCACGTTTCATTTGGTCCCTCTTTTAGCATCCTTTCTTTAATGATTCTCTTCATTACTTCAACATTAGTGCAACTCTTGTATCTCTTGATTAACTTAGTTTCTTTTACCTGATTCACTTAGTTTCTTTTACCTTTTGGGTAGTGGCAGGTGCGCCCTTGACATCAACTAAACCCCTTTTTCGGCAGGATTCACTACAGGATTGTTCATTCCATGAGGTTTTCTACCAAGATTTAATGTTCAAAGAAACCCAAACAATAAAAAACACAAAAGTGTTTTCAACACACACACAAAGAAACCCCAGACAACAAAAAATACAACAAATGTTTTAAATCATTTTACCTATTTAATGCATACCATATAATATAATGTATAGAAATGGTTCCATTAAATTTTAAAATAAAAAAAAAAATCTAGAAAATTGATACAAAACACCCAAATCTAGTTCTAAAAACCCAGCACTGGCAACCCTGATGCATGTACACACTTAGCATCAGACCTCCTGGATCTATGCATGTATTTTCTGTGAGAAAATATAACTGAACATTTTATTCTATCTTGTTCCTAGCACTGATTTAGTCATGCTGCATTGACTTTTAGAAAACGTGATTCATAATTTACTCTGGCAACAAACTTGGGTTATAACAATTTTTTTAACTGAAAGAAGCTGCACATCTCAAGTTATATGGCAAAAATTCAAAAGTTTACTGATATTCAATCATTAGGGTGATACTTTCTCAGTATTCGGTAATAATTTCCCCTGAATATCATATGATTTTATTTGTTCAACAATTTAACAATCTAAACATTAGATGCAGTTGGTTCCTTGATTCCCAATGGTGACCACTTGTAATGTAATTAACATGAAGCAAATCTTCCTTTTAAAAAGGGAACTTCCTATTGATAGGAAGCCTATTTATAAATAGGAAGCCTATTTAGTTGGGAAGACTGAGTTACATTTTGGTTTGTTTGCATAAAATATTGCAAGCACTTGTTTCTCTGTGACAGGTGGAAGCCATTTAACATGCTAAGAGTTATGTTGTTTATTGAAGTTATTAAACTGGAACAAACAAGTACACATTAATGTTTAGATGCTACTGTGAGCTATGTGCTTTTTAATATTATATGGTGCCATGATCTAACTTCAGTTTCTGGTATCAAATTCTGTCAATTTATACTTTTTCATATAGAGTCTCCCACAGATGATTGATGGCAATTATGACATATTCTGCATAATGGAAAAGAAGAATAGGAACCTCTAACATTGTGTATGATATTGTTAGATCTTAAATTAATCTTGATGTTGTGTTGATAACATGGTGAGTGCTCTGGTTTCCCAATTTAAATGTGCAAAATCTCCACAAGCTCTTGCATTAGCGTGATGGAAGTGAAACTACACTCAGAAATAAAGCAAGGAAATCATCAAGCAATTTTATGACTGAAGGTGTCATTGCTCAAAAATTCAAAAGGACCCATCATTGATCTATGTAGGCTAATTAAATGAAATCTTCCAGGTGTAAAAGTCTTCAAAAGAACATGGAAGTTTTTAAATTGGATCTGTTCTTAATGCTGAACTAACAAGACCAAGGCTGTGATTATTTGGCACCCTGGGGTTGAGGATATAGCCAGTGTTGATCTTGGATGGAGCATCATTTGAGACTGGTGTGCAATTTGGAGGTCCTTTTGAACCTTACTTGAGTTACTATTCAAACAGCAGAAGGCAGGTGTGGCCAGGAGGACCATTTACATAATTTTATATTGTGTATTAGTTGTGCCTTTCCATCAGTCCAAAGGCTCTTCAACTTCCCCTAAACTCTGTTGCAGATGTTACTTAGCCTGGTAATGAAACATTCAAAAGCCAACCCAGAATCTCAGAGAATCAACCTTCACCCTTTCTCTACATACAGTTATGTAGAGAAGTGTATGTTCGCCTTATACACTTCACATTGAAGACCATCCAGAAGCTACAGCTACTTTAGATGAAATGGTATGAGCAGTAATGGACACTTTTCAATATTTCCATGAGTCACCTCTGCTTAAGTGAGTTCCATCACTTTCCAGCTTCCAAATGCAATTGAAGGTGCTGATTATTACCTATAAAACTTTGCATGGCATAGGACTTGGACATCTGAGATGCGCCTGTCTCCAATTGCCTGCGTGGCAGGTTTCAACAAAGGCCTGAGGAAATGTATCTTCATCATGCCATCTGCAACAGCACCCAGTCCCCTATGGTTCCAGGAACCTCTTAAAATGTGGCTTTGGTTCCTGTATATATTGGGCAGGGTGGAGGTTCTTACTTTCATGATTATTTTAGTCTGAGCTGTTTGTGTGATTTTGTATGCTTCCCAGAGTTTACTGGAACTAGTCATCTATAACAAATTTAAATTAATATTGTTTTAGACTGTATGAATCAGTGTTGAAATTTTGCGAATAAAATGAACTGGCTAGTGTTAACGTGTACCATTTATTTCACAGTTGTCAAACTCTCAGTGTCACCTTGCTGTCACATGATGTACTGTGACATTTTTCCTTTTGCGAAGCTTGGGTGGGTGTGGCCTGCGCATGAAGCATCCTGCCCACCAACCACCAGTTTGACACCCCTGATTTATTTGAACACAATGAAGGTATAATTTCTTATAGTAGAGTTCTGCTTGCCTCTCTGGGAGCTTGACAGCTTCTCCACTACTACTAAAAATCTGCATGGATATACCCCTGAAGTCATCAAAGTCATGCTTGATTTGACAGCACCTTATCTTTTCAAAAGCATTGAAAGTCTAGGAAAAGCTCCCTATTTGTGTCATGATAGCATGGCAAAATAATTAGCAGAGCTTGCTGCGGAACTGGTCCATATATTTATAGCTGTTATATAGTATAACCTTGTGTCTAATAAGAAACCATGTTTTTCTTGTACATTGAACAGTTTTTATATGTGTAAAGGAATAAAGATTTCTTGGACACGCAGGCTGGGCTGTCACATATTAAACCATAATGTGATGTGGTTGCTAGCAGCCAAACTATGTCAATTTTCAACAATATTTTTTACAAATAATGGCTTGGTGAGATGTTTGATCCCATTCATTGCATCAGAGCTAGTCCTTGTTTAATGATCATTTGTTCAGCAACCATTTGAAGTTAGAACAGTGCTGAATGAATTGTGACCACACCTCAAAGTTGTGGTCATTGTAGTCATGTGATCAAAATTCAGGCACTTGGGCAACTGGCTTTTTTACAACCACAGCATGTACTTCAATTTCCAAAGGGGAACTATTTTGCCTCATCTCTGTCCTTTTGGCCACCCTGCACTTCACTACCTATTCTTGCCACCCCTCATCGACTTTCAACGTTTTCTTCCTCCTGTTGCTGGTTTAGGACCCGGGCTGGATGGCTCCACAATCCCAAAATTCATGCAGTGAGTGCAACAGGAAGCTTGCTGAGCCTGGTCAGGGAGGAGGCAGTGGAATAGTTTGTGCATGACAGAAGCAGGAATTCCTCGTGTAATTATGATGTAATCCAGAACTGCAACCAGAACTGCCATTTCTAAGCATCCTAAATCATGTGTTTTGCCTAATGACCTTGCTCAGTGACAAAAATTTCAATCCCAGTTAGTGTCATTAATCAAGAATGATCTGAATACGGGTGTTGTGGTTTGCCGGCAGCAGGTGCAGACAGCTGAGGTCTCGGAGAGTGAGGACTCAGATGAGGGGCCTGTGTGTGATGCAGGGATGGGGCCAGGACCATCAGGGAGTAGAATGCTACCTTTGGAGATTGTGGAGGCTGGCAGCAGTGATCAAGAGATCCCCGAGGAGCCTGTGCCCAGTGTGTGCGCGTGCAGGGCTGCTCCAACAAAAGAGCAGCTGCAGCAGCATGGGCAACTCGGCAGTAATGCTGTAAGGTAATGGCCCCTCCCTCAAGAGATAAAAACCAGCTGAGAATCCGGAGTTCTTTGCAGGAAGCAAATAAGTTTTTGCACTAAAGCCTTATGGACATTCAGAAGATCTTGTTGGTGTTTGGAGACTCTTTGTGTCTGAAATATTTCTTAGTAATTCTATCTAGTGTTCTTGGCAGCCTTGCACTACCTTGGCAAGGCTCGTTCTTATCAAACATAATTAATTTGAAACAGCCTTTTAACCGTGAAGGAACAGAATTCGTAAAGAAAGATTAAAAGGTTTTGCTGTTACCTCTGTTTTGTGTTTGTTTCTTTGGAACAAGGTTTGGGTCAGAACAAATTATCTGTAGGAAATAACTAAAAAGGGACAGCAAAGTCAAGTTGTTGAATAACAGCTTCTCCAAAAATTTGATATGGGTGCGATGGAATTAGTCAGCTATTCTGCTGGAAAATAATTCACTGTTAAAAAAAATATAAAAGTATATTTAAGATTTTAATTTAAGATTTTAATATTACAATTATAGTGCTATGTTATGTAGCTCTAGCATTAGAACAGTGCATGTATAAAATGCCCAATAGAGAATATTGTCATTTGTGTGACCGTATAATTGACATAATATAGAAGAGTTACAGACAAAGCAATCGGTGCATTGATGTATTAACATCATAGATGAAATGAGACACTATATTGCTAAAAGTAATGCCAAATTCCAACTTCTTCAGTCTTCAAAAATGTATATAGGTGTCTGTACCTGCATTTTGGAACTGATCTGTTGGAAATGATTTAACTCTGTCCTCAGGTGAAACTAACTTTATCTTCTCTTTCGTTATAGCATATTTTCAGCTTGGACTGTATCCACAATCATAAGCAATAGCCATTTGTTCCATGTATCTGATTTTGTGCTATACATGAAATGTATCACGTAAAATCTATGATGTGTCAATGTTGAAGTTAAAAAAAAGGAAACAAAAGAATGTTGGGAAAGAAAAACAGTGTTTTATTTAACCATTAATGGTCATGGTAATTGTTCCATCAGGAGTTTTGCATTAATAAGCATTAATTCTCAGTATTCTACAAAGCACTTCAGCTCATGTTCTTGCTAGCAAGACATGTTTCTGTTCATCTTACCTTTCTCTGTTGTCCATAGACAGAATTACAATACGTTAGTTCGTTGGTTATGGATTGCTCTGACTTTTGTCTTTCATTCATATTAAATCATGTACACAATAAAGATGTTATTTAGGGGAAAATCCACCTTTCAACTTTTGTCATAGATGGGATATCCCATCAAAAGTACTCTGTTGTTTTCACGTACGTTTTCCCATGATGATCGTATACAATAGCACCAGGTTTCTGCTTTTATACTTGTGACATATTTATTGTATTTGTTAAACTGATAGACTTATTTTCTTCCAGGAGTTCAAGACAGTTTATATGGGAACTCTGCAAAAACATTCCTGAGAGATAGATATGTTTATTTAAATATACATGGCTGTCCATCTCAGAAAAAGTGACTCTGATTAGTTGACAGGGTAGCTACAAAGATTTAAAAAATACAATGTTAATACAATACAATATAAAATACATTTCACAACCAACTAAATACAATATAAAATACAATATAAAATACATTTCACAACCAACTAAATACAATATAAAATACAATATAATACAATATAAAATACATGTCACAACCAACTAAATACAATATAAAATACAATACAATATAAAATACATTTCACAACCAACTAAATACAATATAAAATACAATACAATATAAAATACCAACTAAAACACAAAGTGGCTGCCAACCATTCTGTACATCAACAGTCACTGCTAATTATCCTCCCAAGTCCATGCCTGGGAAGCAACGTCTTCAAGGCTTTGGGAAAGGTAAGCAGAACTGGGACAACCTAATCCTTGCTGGTATGGTGTCCAGAAGGCAGACCTAGGTACAGAAAAGATGAGAAAAAGATTTGCCTTAGAGACAGTAAATAACTCAAAGTCATCCAATGAGACACCATGGTTGAGAGTAGAGTTGGTCTTGGTTAACTACACATATAATATACAGTTGTGAGATATACGTCTACTGAAAAACAGGACTGTGGCTGAAAATATTAAAAAAATCAGAAATGTACATTTTATTCCTTGCCATTCTCAGGATGGTAATTAGATTTAAGCGCGTGCGCACACACACACAGAGATTCTTTTTCTTTGATGACAGATATGTCACTTGCACTCCTGAAATTGTTATACACCAGTTGATCCTTTAGTACAATTTCTAATAACATATTTAAGAGAGATAGAAGGGGTGGTGGTTATTTTTTTATTGCTGGTGTTTAATCCTGTTTCTAACCATCTAAATCACTTTATCCAACTGTTTTCTCTATCAGGTGGAAAAGGTTCAGAAAATGGTTGTTGCTAACAGGAAGATTTAAGCATTAAATCTCTAAACAGCAAGAGATTTAAGCATTAAAGATAAAGCATTCTGAAAATAGTAATCCTCAAAATGAGAAATATACAGCAGCACCATGGTTCATCGAATAAATGTAGTTTTTATTAAAAAATACAGTGGATAAATAGGATGAATTACCTGCCAGCGTGTATATACTTGAATTTTGCATTTTTAAAAAATTGCACTTCAACAAGATTGATTCACCTTTCTCAAAAATAGACTTAGTTTCCAAGCAGAAAAAAATAGGCTTTCTGTATGATGTTTAGGGTACAGAAGCCTAATTTACAGAAATTAGGAAGTACATGCTTGTATGTATGATTATCTCTCAGTGTGTAACCACAGTGGGGCAGTGGTTAAGATATTGTATTAGAATTCAATTGAAGTCCACCCTCAACCATAGAACACAACACCTTTAACCATGGAAGTGAGTCACAACATACTGGTACCTCACAAAGTTGCTGCACTGTAAAAACCGGAGATAAAGGATCATTTCCAAGGCTTTTAGCTCCTGAGTAGACTGATTTTCCTCAACTTTCCAACTCAAGTGAGCGCTGCCACCGATTGAAATACGGCAGAAATATTTAAGATTTAATTTTTTAAAGAGTTACTGTGAATGTACATTAATTGTTACCATCTTTCTTGTCTCTGGCAAGACAGGATTATTCATTTCTCTTTCTAATCTCCCACTAGAAGCAATTCGTTTTTGAGCTTTGGTGAACGAAAACAGGAAAACTTAATGGGGCCACAATATTAGAAGTGCCACTGGTTGCCTGGCAGCGGAGGAAAGGTTTGTGTGGAATCTCAGAGAATTAAGCTGCTTTCTAGAGCGAAAGGCCAGGAAGGCGGAACTCCAGAGAGCGTCTGTACTAACCAAGGTAAACTTACAAGTCAAACGTGTTTTATTCAATAGCTCCATAAAGTCTAAAAGGACTTTTTGTCCCAGCAAGAGCACAGAGTGCTTTGTAGCATCAAGATGGCACACAATCGGCAGGCTTCTGCTCAGCCTCTCCCCTCCCCCCACCCATTTCAAGGTTTAATGACACGAAGGACTGGGAGCAACATGATAGCAGTGCTCCAATATGTAAGGGGCTGCCACAAAGAAGAGCAGGTCGTTGTTTCCAAAGCACCTGAAGGCAGGACAAGAAGCAATGGATGGAAACTAATTAAGGAAAGAAGCAACTCTGGAATTAAGGAGAAATTTCCTGACAGAACAATTAATCAGTTGAACCAGTTGCCTTCAGAAGTTGTGATTGTTCCAACGGTGGAAGTTTTAAAGAAGAGATTGCACACCATTTGTCAGAAATGGTACACAGAACTTTCCACCTGAGCAGGAGATTGGAATAGAATAGAATAGAATAGAATAGAATAGAATAGAATAGAATAGA